CTCTCTCTCTCTCTCTCTGACTATCATGAATAAATAAATAAAACATAAAAAAAAAAAAGAACTTGCTTCAGCAATCTGGAAACCCTAACCCTGCTCAACCCTACATGATGAAATGTTAGATACTCCTACCTCTGCTACCTGAGGTCTTTCTGCTTTTCTGAATAACTAATCTCTTTCACTTTGTAGCAGACAGAATAATAGCCCCCAAATAAGTCCCTGTCCTAATCTCTGGAGCCGGTGAATATATAACCTTTACAAGGGAATAGGGACATTGAATTAAGGACTTTCAGATGGGGAGAGTATCCTGGATTATTCAAGTGGGCCAAATCTTACCACGTGGGGCCTTAAAATCAAAGAAGATTTCAGAGTTAAGAGATGTAGATAGAGTAGAAGACATACAGAGATGCAATGCTGTTGGCTTTGAAGATAGAGAAAGGTAGACTCTAGAATTCTCTCCTAGGGCCTCCAGAAGGAAAGGCAGCTCTGTTGATACTTTGCTTTTAGCCCAGTGAAATCCCCACAGAACCAAACCTGCAGAACTGTAATTTTTATTGCTTTGAGCCACTAAGTTTGTGATAATTTGTTACGGCAGCAAACAGGAAATGAATATATCCTTCATTGACACTGCTGCTTTTCAGTTTGCCTGATGCTTTGGTAGTATTTTGCTCCAAACCCTAATATTTGACCATTTCTTACCCAGTGTTTAATTTGCTTCTCTACATAGACTTAAAAAAAACATATTTGGTACTGGAGAAAATTTGCTCAAAATCCCTCTAGTAGCGCAAAACGCCATTTTTCTTTACATGTCTACTTAGTTTCGTTTCTTTCTTCAGTTTGTTAGCACATGACCACTGATATAAGGAACCACTGAGCATAACTGAAATCAGTAATTTTGCATGAAGCAAAAATGCTTTTGAGAATGGAAAATGACAAGCCCTCTAAAATTGTGCACAAAGACACAGTAGTTCTCAATGTCTACTTAGGGTGCTCTGGATATCACAATGACTGGAAGATGCCACTGGCCTTTTGTGAGCCAAGAACAGGAATACCAAAGAGTTCAATGAAGAATTGTCCCATCCAACCTGCCAGCAACTCCCACTGAGAAACTCTGCCTGGATTGATTTGAAACATTTAAGTCCACTCATTAGCATGAAAGAAATCAACATAAACATCAGACACAGAATATCAAATACTTCTAAGACAGTCTTCATTATGAGCAATATAGTAGTCCCCACTTATCCATGGTTTTGCTTTCTGCAGTTTCAGTGGCTCTTGGTCAACTGTGAGGAAACAGGTGATCCTCTGCCTAATGCTTCATCACAATGCCTCTGTCATTCACCTCCTTTCCTCTCACATGTAGGCATTTTATCATCACGTGTCATCACAAGAAGGGTGAGTACAGTACAATAAGGTATTTTGAGAGAAAGACCATAGTCACATAACTTTTTTTTTACAGTATATTGTTATAAATGTTCTATTGTTGTTCATCTCTTATTGTGCCTAATTTATAATTAAACTTTATCATATGTGTGTGTATGTATGTGTATAAATATATATCTGTGTGTGTGTATATATATGTATATATATATGTAAAAGCACAATATACATAGGGCTCAGTACTACTGCAGTTTCAGGCATCCACTGGGAGTCTTGGAACATATCCCCCACAAATAAGGGGGGACTACTGTATTTGGTAGAATGCAGGGATGGCTCTGTACTCAGTTGTAAGATGTTAAGTACTTAAATCCAAAAGAACCTCAATATGAGGTAGCTATATATGGTCTTAAAAGCATACTCACATAGGCCTTTCTTCTTAAAGCTCTAGACCAGAGATTCTTTCTTTTTTTTAAATTTCTTTATTTACCTGAGAGAGAGAGAGAATGGGGGAGAGGCAAACGGAGAGAATCTTCAAGCAGACTCCCCACACTAAGTGCGGAGCCTGACGCAGGGCTCGATCTCTCAACCCATGAGACCATAACCTGAGCAGACACCAAGAGTTGGACACTCAACCGACAAAGCCACACAGGCGCCCCTCTATACCAGAGACTCTAAGTTTCTAATACTAGCAAATACTAAATATTTGCTGAATAAATACATGGATGAAAGACTAGCTCCAGTAAACTAAATCAGGTTATAGGTAGGTAGTATTTTTTTTTTTTTAAAGATTTTATTTATTTATTTGAGACAGAGAGAATGAGAGAGAGAGAGCACATGAGAGGGGGGGAGGGTCAGAGGCAGAAGCAGACTCCCCGCCGAGCAGGGAGCCCGATGCGGGACTCGATCCCGGGACTCCAGGATCATGACCTGAGCCGAAGGCAGTCGCTCAACCAACTGAGCCACCCAGGCGCCCGGTAGGTAGTATTTTTTATTAGCACTTTTCTATAACCACTAAATAGTTATGTAAATAAACAATTAAAAATCCAACAACCAAATTCAAATCACTGACATATAATCCAATGGGGAAAGAAGAGAAATAGGTGGTGGAATAAATGAAAAATATTGGCCATGAGTTGATAGTTGTGGAAATTGAGTGATGGGGATATGGAAGTCTATTATATAACTCTATTTTGGAAAAAGCTTGAAATTTTTCCTAATGAGGTTAAATTTTAAAATAGGGGGAAAAAAATCCACGTTGCTGACTGTAGATCGGGGAGGGCAAACACATTATCACCTGTCTCAGCAATATGATGACCTTTCAAGTTTACAACCAGATTCAAATGGGTTTAGCTACTTTCAAAAGCCAAGTTAGCTTCTTTAAGAAGAAACCCCTACAGCATTAGATTGACCTTTTGTTATTATTGTTTGTTGCTGCTGGGAAAGCCCTTACAATGTCTATAACCAATCTGTTAAGAACAGGGCTTACCCTTCTCTGATCTAATGTCTGTCTTGCACAGGGTATTTCTGCAATAGCTACAACCGATTAATCCTGTTTGGTGCCAGAGGAATACATTGTCAGGTTGTGACCTCAAGGCTCTCCAGCTCAGGTTTTTAGAAGGAAATGGGAAAATCTGGGTGAGAAATCAGACTTTATCTTCAAGGATAACTGCTTTTTTCTTAAATCCTGAAGTCCTGTTAATTTTGCTAAAGCCTCTATGCATATTTCTTATGGATAAACATCACATGTTAAATGCATTCGTCTACAGGATCAGTTAAGATAATCTTTTCTGCTTCAAGTTCTGGTTAGATTCAAGAAGCTCCTGGGAGGAGAAAATATTCCTTAATTCTTACCTCTTCAGTTCCCAAAGCCTGAGGCTCACTGGCAGATCTGGGCTGTTGAGAAAGCAGAGAGGAAAATGAATGTTGTTGTTGTTGTTGTTTATAAAAAGGAAAAATAACATGATACATAAGAGCTGAATTAAGCAAATGAGTGTTTCTGTAAATAGGGTTTGGTGGTAATGGCTGAAGAGCCCTAAGCGCGGAGGGTCTCACAGGTTTACATTTCTGAGCCAAGAACAAACATTCTGTTAACACTTTTTCTTTTAAGAAGCAGATGTGAAAATAAGAATCCCTTTGTGAACTTCCCTGGCCTTCAAGAAAACATGAAACATAAAGTGGGCTTGGGAACCTAAGGGAAGCAGAGTTCTTGGTGACAGAAATGATTAAATGAGATGACTAGGAAGAAGTTTTTTCCCTCCTGACCTAACCCGGTTTGCTCCCAACAGGACCAAAGGGGCAGAGGCAGAACACATTCTTGCTCCAGGAGTTATGAACAGAGCTGGATTTCCACTTGTGTGTATCTAGCCCTTACAGAGGGTAGATTTGGACAATTTAGGAATGATAAAAGCATCTTTAGTATCTAATGTTTCTGTGGGCTGTTTAGCAGCAGAGACGCTGACACCCCTGGACACAGGGACTTCAGAGGATGTCAAGTTCACAGTGGGTCCTAGGACCGAATGAACATCTGTGTCTATAAAGACACTTCAGACTGGTGGGTGTGCTAGAGCCTCAGCCCAACCAATTATATTCCCAGATGACTAGAAGGGATCATATGCTTTTAAATGAGCCAAAGTTATTAGGAAAGCATTATCTCATGATTAATGACAGCAAAGAAATAAAAAAAAAAAAAGCCAAGGGCCAAACACAACCTGTTTTCAGAGAATGAACCCTAGGGATGACAATGATTAGTGGGACTTGCAGAAGAAGCCCGTCTGAGGGTGCTCGGTGCCTAGCACTCTAGCACATTACCGGTGCTAACAGCCTCTCAGGGAAATAGTTTGGCACTACTCATCAAGATCCTCAAATATGTTCTCAACCATTGTCTTAGTGATAACACTCCTTGACTTTATTAAAAAAAAAAAAAAAAATCCAAAATGTAGACAAAGAATTATCACCAAGGTGTTAGAAATAGCCTAAATATCAGTAATATAATTTATTAAGTAAACAAAAACTCTACATGATGGAACTTTGAAATGATGCATATAAAAACCTTAAATGATGAGGAAAAATACACATGCCCTCTCCTTTCCAACATTCTCCCTTCCTGCTGGTCATAAGTGGGATCCTTAGGGCAAGCTACTTTAGATCAAAAGCAAGAGAAACAGGCTTGAGTGATGGACGAACGTGATAGAAAAAGCCTAGGTCTCTCGATGATCTTGTGGAGCAGGGCTACCTTTTCACCCCTGGACCACCCACCTCTGGGTTATTATGTGAAAGAGAAAGAACTTCTATCGCCCCACTGTGAAATCAAGCCTCTGTTACATGCGGTTCAACCAACAACCTAATTAATAGAAGGGGTCATTTCTTCACATTTTTTTTCCCAAATTTTCAATAATCACCATGAATTACTTTACCAGAAAAAAAAAAAAAATTTAAGCATGGTTTAGTAATTTTAAGAAAATTAAGATAGCACAGAATAGAGCTCAAGCAACATGTGCCTTCTGTTCATATATGAGAGAAAAAATGAAATCTACAGTTTCAAGAAGTAGTTATTATATCTTCTCAAGGGCATAAATCACACACCAACTCCCTGAGTTTGTATGACCCTTTTTTTTTTTTTTTTAAAGATTTTATTTATTTATTTATTTGACAGAGAGAGACACAGCGAGAGAGGGAACACAAGCAGGGGGAATGGGAGAGAGAGAAGCAGGCTTCCCGCGGAGCAGGGAGCCCAATGCAGGGCTCGATCCCAGGACCCTGAGATCATAACCTGAGCCGAAGGCAGACGCTTAACGACTGAGCCACCCAGGCGCCCCTGTATGACCTTTTCATCACACTTCACGGCACTTTATTTCAAGCATTCTGAAAAATAGTTTTAATACAGAAAAGTTCTTTAGCTTTAAATAAAATCTGCTTTAATATCTGCTTGAGGAATACTCTAAAAAAATAAAATAAAACTCTGGTCAACATATTATAATTCTCCAGTTAAGAGGATACCGTTCAGACTCCGAGATCTCTAGACCTCTTAAAGTAAACTTAGAAACAGTCTTAAAAAAACAGCTTTATATGCACTAACTCATACCTTTAATTTAAGGGTGTTGTTTGTTCCTCAGATAGAATCATAATGACTCACTCCTACTGTAACCACTGGCCCAATAACTCTGTTGACAGTCCATCAAACAAACATCATATTTTGATTTTACTTTCCTCTGGAATGGCGACAGATTTGTAAGAGCTCACATAACCTCCCTAATCTCTGTGGCCCATGGCCTGTATTATAAGATGACTGTCCAAGATAAAAGAGTCATATCTACTCCATAAAATAGAGAAAAGATATCTCATCTACTTGGGGATCAGCTCTGAAACAATGGCCTCACTGAAACCAGTCTCTACCCATATTAGAATAATGCACTTTATAATGCAGATCCCTTAATCTGCAATAACATTTTGCCAGTGGTATCTGGTGCCTTTTAGAAGATCATTAAAGCGCTGTGCACCTGCACACAAGACACTTCCCCAGGTAGACTCTAGAGACTTCCATGTAATTATACATCAGATAAAGGACCTATTTCCCCTCCTTCTCCCCGAGAGAATGCCAAATGGTCCTTTTCTCTCCTGTGAATCACAACACCCGACACTAATATGGCTAACTTATATTCAATAACAAAGGCAGGATGCCAGAGTTTCCTCACTTCCCTCTTAGGATGACTATGCCAGTACGTTTTCAAGAACCCCCTAAACTCTCTCTTGAAATAGGCAAATAGAAGCTGATAGTCCAAGCTCTGAATTCTCGGTTTTTCTCCCCCTCTTCTCTTGACAGGAACATAAGCAAGCCAACTCGACAGGCCTAATTACCATGGTAACAACATGCACTGTGATTATGAGTGTGTTTGTTTTTTAAAATGACTCACAGATTGTTCTCCCAGAAGCCCCAGACACACGGGCTTCTGGGTGGTTTATAAAAGCTATTCAAAGTTTTCTTGCAAATTTCTTGCTCCTATTAGCATAACTGCTGTGATGGAGAGAGATTCATCAAATCAAATATGCCCTTTTCCTTAAGGATGAAAAAAAACCCCACTTGGTTCCTTAACCACTCCAAGATTAATCAATTTAAAACTTGGGTTAATAATGAAATTAATTTGAGTTTGTACACTGGAGATAATTAATCTCTCCCTAATTTAAATAATCAAGATATTTCATAATGTAGTTTTAGAGACCCAAATGAAACAATCAAGTGAAATAAAATCAGCAGTAAAAAATATCAAATAAAATAGCCTAAATCTGTGAGTACACGGTCAGTCACATGTAAAGTGTTATGAAAGAATAAATATAAGTTTTAGTACCAAGATGTTTTTAAACCAATGTCCAAAATAAAGACATTTTAAAATGCAAACATGGGGGCGCCCGGTTGGTGCAGTCAGTTGAGCATCCCACTCTTGCTTTCGGCTCAGGTCATGAACTCATGGGTTGCCAGCTGGAGCCACAGGTCAGGCTCCTGCTCAGCGCAGTCGGCCTGGGATTCTTTCTCCCTATCCCTCTGCCCCTCCCCCCTGCAGGCACGCATGCACACGTGCTCTCTAATAAATAAATCTTGAAAATGCAAACATGAAAGAGTCCAGACATTTGGAAAAACTGTGGACTGCTTCCATTCATTTATTCAATACATATTACTTAAGATCCTCTATGTAGTGTCATTGTTTATAACTGGAACAGTGCCATAGGGCTTAGGGAAGACCATTTTCTTACTGGAGACAAAGGCCATGGGTGTGGCTTAGTTTATCATCTTATCTTAGATTCTTTGCTTCACAAAGCACCATTCTGAGTAAGCTCTCAATGGGAGGGACCATTTTCCAATGAAAGTATTGAGCCTAGAATTCAGAGTCCTGATTTAGGCAAAATGGTTGACTCTCTAAAAAAAAAAAAAAAAAAAAAGGCTGGTAATTTTGCTATGTCAGTTTTCCTCCGTATGAATTGGATATAAACCTTACTTTAAAAGAAATGTAAATGGAAACTTATAAATCTATTTAACTTAAAACTCTATCTCCTGATGTTTACATATAACACACACACATACACAAAATAGTCATTAGAAATTACTGTCTCCCAATAGGTACATATTTTATGTACTATTACCAATATACTTCTCCTCTAGAGTTTGAAGGGATAACCAGTATGAATCTGTCAGGATAGGCTAGGATATACTGTGTGGTAACGAACAACCCCAAAATCTTGGTGTAGGACAGCAAAACTTACTTCCCACTCCCACTACATGTCCATCGCAGGTCAGTGGCTAGACCCATCCCTATGTTGTCTTTACTCCAAGACCCAGGCTCAAGAGTGCAGCCCCCATTTCTGTGCTTTTGCCACTGCCAATTGCCAAGAACTGCACTGCCATCCTGGTTCTTAAGAAGCTTCTTCCTGGAAGTGGTAAAAAGCACTTCTACTCTCATTTCACTGGCTAATACAAGAGATGTGGCTACACTTACCTAAAGTGGACAGAGAAGTGTAAAGTAAGCCTATCATGAGTTCAGAAGGAAAACTGGAAATATTTATGACTGAGTGCATAAATTACTGGACAAATAGTGCAAGGGACACTTAAGTCAAAACAGTGACATCTGGCCACCCCAGAGAAATAGTCCTCCTTGGGTGGGATTCCTTCCTCCAAGTTCTTTGTACCTGTGACTAATGTTGGGCCGTAACAATCACTTCTGCTAGAATTTGGTAAGAATCCCATGGATAGAATAAAAGATGCTCTACTCCAGCTTTATGGCAACAATAATTATTGAATAGCGAGACTTCTAAATAGTTACTATATGTCATGCACTATGCTAAATAAACATTTTAATACATTATATAATTTTCTCCTGACAAGTCTGTGAGGTAGGTATTGTCAT